AAAGGAGATGAAAAGAGAAATACAATTAGGCGGCAAGGAAGAGGAAGACAAACAAGGAGAGAGAGGAGAGAGAAAGAGAGAAGCCCTCCCCTCCAACTTCCCCCGCATAAATAGAAACAGAAAGTAGAAGAAAGAGAAAGGGAAAAAATATAGAAAAGAGAATGAAAGGAGAGAGGAAAAAGAGAGAGAGGAAAGAAGGAGATTGCGGGCGCGCAAGAGCACGCCCTTTCACACAAGAGTTGAAATACAGCCGACGCCAAGAGGGCTGAAAATAACAAAGAAAGGGAGAGAGAAGAGACAAAAAACAAACAAGCGAGAATGTATAGAAGAGAGAATGTTAGTGAAAAGGAGGAATAAAAAAGAGAAAGAGGAAAGCAGAGGAAGAAGAAGGACAAGAAAACTAAAGAGAGAAAAGTAAGAAAACAAACCGTTTGAAAAAAAAGATATTTTTTTCTTAGAGAAAATAACAGATAAGAGAGAGAAAAAAAATCGATGCATTTATGAAAGTAAAATATCAAAATAAGAAAAAAAGAAATTATAATAGTAATCAAACTAATGATAACAATAATAATAATTATATCAACAATGATAATGGTAATAAAGAATAATGATAACAATAATGATAACAACGACAGTAACAATCACAACAATAATGATAATAATATTATTAACAATAACAATGATATAAGAAAAAATAAATAAAAAAAAGACACAGTGGCTGTGCACGGCCCGAGGCACCTTTTCGATGGCACTAGAGGACGAGTTCGCTTCAGCTCGCAGGACGGAGCACGTCGTGGCTCTGGGCCTTCGTCGCCTTCGTCAGGATTGCGGTGGTCGATGCAACACGTCGCAGGACAGAAGGACAATGCTAGGGAAGAAATAGGAAGAAGGAAGGAGGGATTAGTAGAGAGGCAGGGGAGGAAGGGAGGAAAAAGGGATGAGGTGGTCGGATGCAGGGACAAGTCGCAGGACAAGGGACAAGGAGAAGCGGACGGGATGAGGGAGGAAAAAAGGGAGCTAGAGAGAAGAAGCTGGAAGCGAACAAAGGTAGAAGAGGCAGGGGACATGAGCGAAGAGGAAGAAAGAAAAGAAGGAGCGGGATGTAATAGGCGAGGGGAGGAAAGGAGGAAAGAAACCAGGGATGAGGTGGACGGGACAGGGGAGGAAGGATGAGGTGGACGGGAGAGAAGAAGAAAGGAAGGAAGGGATGTAGGGAGAGAAAGGGAGGAAAGAAAGGGAATGAGGTGGACGGGGAGAGGATAGGGATACGGGGAAAGGGAAGGAACGGGGACAAAATGACAAAAGGATGGGAATAGGGTATGGTAGGAAATGGAAGGAAATGGGCAAAAAGGAAGGATAAGGGAGGAGGACAGGGAAGGGAAAGAGGGAAAGATAGAAATTATGAGGAAGAAGAAAAAAGGGAGGGAAGATTTGGGAAGTAAAAGATTTGAGAAAAAGAGAGAAAAAAGGAAGTGAAATAAGGACTGGGAAAAAGAGGGGGAAGAAAGGCGACAAAGAAAGTAAGAAGAAAGACGGATGGCGAAAGAGGGAAAGAATGATAAAAAAGAAAAATAATAAAACTGATACCTGTTGGAATAAAAGAACATTAAAACAGAAGGATGGAAGGAGAGAAAGTGGAGAGGATAAATGAAGCAAATGAAGAACGACAAGAATAAAAAGAAAGTTAGAAAGAAACGACGATAGAAATTGAAGATGGTATATATATATATATATATATATATATATATATATATATATATATATAGGAAAATGAAAGAAAAAAAAAAGGAATGAAGCATGAAAGCAGGATAAAAGGAATCGGGAAGGAAGGCAAGAGAGGCGGCAGGAGGGAGAGAACTCTAGGGTCACACAACCCAGATTTCACTATAAAGAGCGGAATAAGGTCCTCTGTTGCAGGAGCCAATTAACGCAAGAAATGTAGTGGAGACGCTACAACTCCTCTTGCTTTACGTCATTTTTACGCTTTTCTTCTTCCTTTTCTTCCTTTCTTCTTTATCTTTCCCTGTTTACCGTTCAGGACCCTTTAGAAAGGCTACAACTTCTCTTGCTTCTCGTCATTCTAAAATTCTTCTTCTTCTTTTGTTCTCTTTCTAACGCTGTTCACTGTTCAGAACTCTTTCAAATACCTAAAACTCCTCGTTTTTTAATTCCTCTTTCTCTTCTTCTTCTTCTTTTCCTCCTCATCCCACCCTGTTCACCGCTCGAGGCCCTTTAAAACGGCCGAGTCTCTATCTCCTTAAATCTTATAGCATGTCTCAGGCGCCGCGCTGGAGAAACAAAAACATGTTGATGAGCCAGTCTTCATTACGCATTGGGGGGGGGGGGGTAATGGGAGAACAAAGGGGGGGGGTGAGGCAGAGGGAGAGAGAAAAAAAATCTCTCTCACTACTGTTTTAAAGCACAGGGATATTTTTGTCTCGGTGAGGATGAGTTTATTTCAGACAATACGCCAGGCCGTGTTTTGCTTTTCTAAGATGTT